CCTTTTGCCACAAGGTAAGCTTTGTATCTTTCTACTGTCCCATTTGCTTTATATTTCACAGTAAACACCCATTTGCATCCTACAGGTCTTTTTCCTTTCGGTAGGTCCACCATCTCCCAATTTTCATTTTTTTTATAAGGCTTTCATTTCTTCCATCACCGTTTTTCTCCATTCAGGGATTTCCAAGGCTTCATGAATGTTTCTAGGAATCACTGTGCTGTCAAGGTTAGCTGTAAAGGTATGAAATTTTGTAGATAAAGTATTATAAAATATGAACTTTGAGATGGGATGGAGAGTACATGATCGAACCTTTTTTCTAAGTGCAATGGGTAAGTTGATATCAAGATATTCGGACTCATGAAGATTTGGAGCTATCATCGATTCCAACTCTCTTGGTGTTTCAGGTATGGGGGTCTCTTTTTATTTTGGCTTCCTTGAGTAAACTAGTATCTCCTTGTTTTTTGTTCTCCTACATCTCCCCCTGAGTTCAAGTGTTGTTTAATATGTGACATATCTGAACCTAATGGTGTGATGGATTCTAATTCTGTTGAGGTATGGCTAGAAGGAGAGAGATCGAAATCTAAGAACCGATCTTCACATAACTTTTCCCCCTGAAGAGAAGGTTTTTGAAAGTAAGGTGTCTTTCGAAGAATGCGATATCAAGACTGATAAATACCCTTTTTGTGGATGGGTCATAGCATTTGTAATCTTTTTGAGTAGAGGAATAACCAATGAACACACATTTTTATCGCACGGGGGTCTAGTTTATTTCGATTGTGAGCATGAACATGGACAAAAACTGTACAACCAATAACCTGTAGGGAAGATTAGAGTATAGAGGTGAGGTAGGGAAAAGTTTCTGAAATTTTTGGAGAGGTGTTTCAAAGTCAAGTGTGCGACTTGGCATTCGATTGATAAGGTAGGTAGATGTTAGGATGGCATCTCCCAAATGAATTTTCAGCAATCTTGTTGTGAACATTAGGGCACAGGCAACTTCAAGGAGGTGTCTATTTTTACGTTCAGCTATCCCATTTTGTTGGGGAGTGTCAACACAGGAGCTCTGATGTATTATCCCATATTTTTGTAGGTAATCTCGTAATATAGAATTGAAGTATTTGGTACCATTATCTGTGTGGAGGATTTGGATATTGGTTTGGAATTGTGTTTGAACCATTGAGTGAAAATTGATGAATACTGAACGAACATCAGTTTTTTCCTTTAGTAGATAGACCCAACATAGCCAAGTATGATCGTCAATGAATGTAACAAACCATTTTCTGTGATTACGATTAGGGATTCGTGAAGGTCCGCACAAATCGATGTGGATTATAGTAAATGGTTTAGATGGCTTATATACAAATTTTGGAAATACACTTAGTTGATGTTTTGCTAGTTCACAAATTTCACATTGAAGTTCAAATGAAGTTTTATTCAAAAAAATAGATGGAAGTACACATTTCAGATATTGCATATTGGGATGACCCATTCGGTAATGCCATAGTAAAACTTCACTATCCCTAGAGGTATATATAGAATCATAAATTGCAATTTAACTTGGCTTACTTATATCTGCTTCTTCAAAGTAGTAAAGACCCGCATACTCTCTAGCACTGCCAATCGTCTTCCTCGATGATAGATCCTGAAAGACACAATAAGATGGAAAAAATTTAGCAATGCAATTACATACTTTTGTTAATTGGCTGACAAATAATAGGTTACAAGATAGGTTTGGAACGTGAAGTACTGAGTTTAGTGTAATAGATTCAAATATTTGGATACTCCCTTTTTTTGCAACAGTTGAGAGTGATCTATCTGTAATCTTGACTTTGATATTACCAGCACATGGTATATATGTAGAGAAGAGGTGATAGGAGTCCGTCATGTGATCAGACGCACTTGAATTCGAGGGATTGTGAGCTAGTGAACTTGAAGGATTGTGGGTGGAAAGACGAGCTGAATTTTGTAGATTGGAGAAAATTTGATACAACTGTTCCAGTTGTTTAGGATTAAATGCACTTCCTGCAGTAGAATTATTTTCCTTAGGATTTCCAGTAGGATCAACTGATGCTTGATATCCTCGATTTTTGGAATTTTGTCTTGGTTTCCAATCATTGGATTTTTCGTGTAAGTCCCAACACGTATCTTCCTTGTGCCCCGATTTTCGACAGTATTTGTACCATGGACTTCCCCTTAGTTGTTTTGGCCCATTTGAAGGTGATCCATTCATTTCAAGCCCAATTACACCTACAGAATGACCTGGCCCATTGTGCAATTTCTCAACCCATCCAATTCTTTTATTTTGAACCAACCCATTAGGCCCATTTATTCCTCCCTTCTAACCTCTGCAAACACGTCTCTTGTGGTTGGTAACGGTCGCTGGCCTAAGATTCTTCCCCTAACATCATTCAAATCGCGGTTGAAGCCCACGAGAAACTCAAAAACTCTTTCGTTCTCAACCTTTTTTTGTAGCGTACACTATCACTAGTGCATTCCCACTCCTCCTCAAGGCTGAGGTAGAGCTCTTGCCATAGTTGTGTCATCTCCAGAAAATAATCCGTGACTTCTCTCTCACCTTGCTTGGTCTGCCAAAGTCGAGTCTTTATCTCTAAGATTTGGGCAGCGTTTTCACCATCGGAGTATGTCTCTTTCACTACCTCCCAAACTTCCTTCGCCGTCGGTAGGAATAGGTAGGTTTTACCTATTGTCAAAGTCATGGAATTCACAAGCCAGGCTGTTATCAAAGAGTTTTCCGATTTCTATTTTTGAAGCAGAGTTAGCTCTGTTGGTTTCTTGATCTCACTGGTGAGGTACTCAAGCTTTCCTTTGCCTTCAATTATTAATTTGATAGATTGGGCCCACTCTTGAAAGTTCCTTCCATTCAATTTTTCGATGGTGAGTTGAAAGGAGGAATTTTTAGTGTTGGAGCCCATAGAAGATATAGCCTCAGTGTCGTTCTAAAGCACGTCTGTGGTGGTAGAACCCTTACTGTTTTTTGTCATGGATGGCTCTGATATCATGTAGAAAACAATGAATTTGTAGAAAACACATCACACATTTTTTTGTGTGAATTGTTTTATTCCTTCTTGATTTCTATACTTATATACAACCGAGTGAGAAGAGAAAAGGGAAAATAATCT